TTTCATACTTTTCTGGACCTTGACAGTGTAATTTACTTGGCAGTCAGTCGGACAGTCACAAGCCTCCCGGTTTTCATCCAAAATATCTTAAATTGTGTTCCGAAGATGAACGAAGCTTTTACGGGTTTGGAACGACATGGGGGTAAGTGATTAATGACAACATTTTCACTTTGGGGTGGAGTATCCCTTTAACAGGTAATGAATGGTTTAGATTTATGAGATGTTCTGTAATATCGAATGTATCTAATAGTAAGTTTCAGCGAGATCTGTTTCACACACATTTTTATAATTTCAGGGCACATCTTCTCATATTATAATTTTCCTCTCAAGTTCCTCCTGTTCTCAGAGCTCTTGTAATTACAGGGACGGGTTGGATGTGGGATTACTGCTTTGATGTGAGTGTACAGTGACCCAAAGGGTCACAATGCCACTGTCTGTTCTCCTCCAAAGCTCACTTATCACAGCTCTCAACTTCCTGCTGAGAGCAGAGCTTCAGTGATCTCCACACAATACAGTGCATTATCTGCAGGAGGGTGCACTAGTATTGTCTTAACCTTATGACCCTTTGACCCCTCACACCATAAACAAAAACACAATATCAGTCATGAGGAGCTAATGTTCCCAAGGAGCTCCGATAAAGTTGTCCAATTGTTTCTGGTGTTACTTTTAATGAATCTGAAGCAATTTTCCTAAATTGCATATCTCTGAGCCATGTAATAATGAAAAGAGTACTAATAAAATAATCTTTAAGTCTTTAATCACTGTGTATTCTATAGCTTGGCTGAAAGCTCTTACACTTACAGATACTTAAAGATTTGTTATACAAGTTGAAGGTTTGGCTTGCTCTCTCTCTTTTTTTCCCATTAAATTATATGCTTTTTGTGTGTATATTTATTTCTGATCAGCTGCTCATGAAATGTTTGAAAAACTAGTCACAGCTGTCAGCACTGTTCAGCTCTAATAACATGTCTGAACATTAAATACATTAAACAGGCATCATCATGTCCATATGCAAATCAGCTTTAGCTGAAGGGGACAGTTAAATTCATAGGTTGTCAGATGTCATGGATAGTGACTACAGCAGAGCAAAAGCTGCTGCTTCATCCATGTATGTTTATACATTCCTTATGGATGTGTTTGTGTTTTTTCATTCTTTAAATGTCAAAGGATCAGTCGACATCATCCTATTGATCTCAATATCTCTTTCTCTCTCTCCAGGCAATGCTTGTCATCTGTTAAACGGCTTTCCTGCTGCACGCTTTGTTTGGAGAACATAAGCTCTGAACACTGTGGGCCTTCTCATCGCACAACGGCAGGTGATCTTTGTTTGTTTCTTCTCCCTGTCAACCTTGTTTTCTTTAAAGGTACTGTTTGCCCAAAAATGTGAAATTCTTCCATCATTTAGTCACCCTCATGTCGTTCACCTTCACCCTCATTCCAAACCTGTATGACTTTCTGCTGTGGAACACAAAAGAAGATACTGTGAAGAATGTTGGGAACCAAACAGTTTTGGTTCCTATTGACTTACTTTTTTTTTTTTTCCCCATACAATGAGAGTCAGTGGTAAGCAAAACTGTTTGGTTCCCAACATTCTTCACAATATCATCTTTTATGTTACACAAAAGAAAGGTCATACAGTCAAGAAAGTCAGGTTTGGAACAACTTAAGGGTGAGTAAATGATGATAGAATTTTCTTTTTTGGTTAGACTCTCCTGTATCACCCAACGTCACTTTTTTTTATTTTACTGAGTGTTCTTATTCTAATAGGACATTTTTTTCTTGCTGAATGTGCATGCATGAATGCCTTGATTTGTAAATAAATGGCATTTTAACACATTCTGTCCACTGTTGTTTTATGGAGAAAGGCCATTTGGCCTCAACTTACTGAATATTTCCTTTCCTCATTTTCATGTTTAAAAAAAACTGATAGGTGTTCAATTAGAGGCTTGCTTGTGATTTACTTTGGTTGCTTGTGTGTGAATACCCAGACAGAGGCCTTTTGTGAACATGCTGGATTTGTCAATGGTTTTGTAGATGCTGCTGACACGTTGTCAACCACAGCACTCATTATACCTTTCAGTTTAAGCAGACAGAAGGGTCCATTTACAGACTATAATGTCTCTTTCAAAAGAACTAGGGAAAGCACCGCACACACAAGGTGTTAATCTGGTAAATTATTATTTTACTGTCGTTGGCTAACCATTTCAGTCATTCGTTTTGTAGTCTAAACAGCTTATTTTCATGTCTTCTTTATGAATCTCAGTTGACAAGAATATGGGTTACTATATACACTAACGTACAAAAGATTGGAGTTGTTACAATTTTTAAAAAAAAATGTTTTTTTTAAAAAAGAAGTCTCATCAAGGCTGCATTTACTTGGTTTAAAATACATTAAAACAGTAATATTGTGAAATAACATTAAAAGAAATGTCACTTATTCATGTGATGACAAAGCTGCATTTTCAGCAGTGTTCAGTGTCATATGATCCTTCAGAAATCACCCTAATATGCTGATTTGCTGCTCAAGAAACATTTCTTATTATCAGTGTTTAAAACAGTTGTGCTTTTTAATATTTTTTGTGGAAACCGTGACACATTTTTTTCAGATTTCTTTGAATAGTTCAAAAGGGCAGCATTTATTTGAATTCTTTTAAAAAAAGAAAATATTACTGACCTTTTAAATGTTAAGTATATAAGCAAATTTCTACTGCCAGATTGTGTCTACTGCATTCGTTCCTAGTCATGAGAGGTTTTACAGAGCATGCTTTAGTGGTCTGACAGTCTGACAGATCCTATGGGGAGAATGGGACGGGTGGAAAAGTGTGTGTGTGTTGGATGGCAGTTACACGGTGTAAATGTGGGGGATTCCTCAAACTGGCTTCGTCTGCCAGTGTCTAACCCAGATGGGATCCTTCTCTTCCTTGTCTGTGTGGTGAGACAAATCACTTCACTGTGACAACACCATTATCTACCTCTCTCCCACACTTGCTGCCAGTAAACAACTGAAAAGTTTTAGACAACAAATAGCTATGTGTGTCTTGTTTTGTTTTCTTATTTTTAACTTGATGCGTCTAAATCGTCAAGGTTTCTACTTAATCATATTTCTGTTCCCACCAAGCTCTCCTCAGGTCATTCATTCTCAGATAACATTATACGGCTTATCATTTAGCTATGGGAATATGTTCTCTCTACATATCAGAGGACCTTAAAGAGCGTCTCTCGGTTCCTGCTGATAAGCTCATGCCGTATTGGTCCACTTAATATCAGCATGAATGGCTGAAAGAAGCCATTTAATGGTCATCCTTGGCCATGACGTCACCTCAGAAGTCCCTCTGGACCATCTCTACAATTGGAGACAAAAGGCTACCAGAATAGTGGCCGGCTAGGGGAGATTCTATCTTATTTAGAGACTCAAATGTTGGTGTTGAACAGCTGATCTAAGTCGACGCTCAGCAGATGGCCGTGCATAAACAGTGGATAAGGTTTAGAAAATTAATTCAGATGGAATACATTAGACCACTATTAAGATTCTTTGCCGTATTAATGTTTGTTTGTTGTTATTATGTCTCTTTTTTGATCTGAAAAGTCTTTCGGTAGCTGAGATTGAGCCAGTTCTTGCTTATCATCACCTGTGTCCGTCACTGGCATCTATTAAAGTGAGTTTTACAAACGTATCCCAGTACCTCCCTGAAATGTATTGTTGCCTGCTTTACGGTTGCTCACTCGATTGAAAGCATAGCGGATGAATGATTTCCCAAACTTTCACAGGGGATGCTCTGGGTCTTTGTTGTGCTGATTTCGGGCAGGGCAACAGCTGAGGATGTGGCTTCAGGATCATAGGGACCTGTAGCGTGGGGAGCAGAGGGAAAATTGATTTTCAATGCGTTTTCTGACAAAATCTGGTGGGACACTTGTGTGAAAGCTAACGGTTCTGATGTGGCTAATTCCTTAGAGATCAGAAATCGCAGTGAAAAGCTCTGGTGATGGATGACACTTCTGATTAAATGTGCCTGTGAGTTTGTGTATGTTGTACCAGTTAATTCTTCTGGTAATTGCTTTTTTAGAGGGTTCATGTCCGTTGGATGCCAAGGTTTGCCCATTCCATGCATTTCCCAGCCTAATCAACCCCCTCTCTTCCCAGCCCCCCGGAATGGGCCCTTTCTCATTAGCACCATTATGGTCTAGCCAGCTTAAGTGGTTAAGCCAAACAAAACCCTTTAGCCTTTAAACGCAGCTCTAATTAAGGCTGGCAAGGTGTGTTTAGCGTTGGAATTTCTCTTGCTTCTTTGTAACTGCTGTCTGAAACATTCCTGTAGTGTCTGTCGACATGGAGCGCCCTTTGGGTTTTCAATTTCTTTCTTTCTTTCTTTCTTTCTTTCTTTCTTTTCTTTTCTTTTCTTTCTTTCTTTCTTTCAAATTAATTTTATTTGGGGATTATGTGTAGTAGCAGTAACTATATTTCTATATTTTAATATACATTAAGATATTGAAGATTAAAGATAATAAATTATATTAATTATATTATAAATATAATTAGAAATATTTCATTCTCATAAATTCTCCTCTGGTCCCTCAGTTGACTTTAAAAAATGTCTAGCTGAGGAAACCAAAAACCTTGTGTCTGTCATCAGTTTCAGTGGATTTCAATCCAAGCCAGTATGAACACAACTAAGCATTTTCATCCTTCTTTCATCCATTTCACAAGGTTGACTAAAGCTTATGTTTTTTAGAAGGTCAAGGAGCCCCTTAGACACAATTGTCTGAGACAAAGAACCAAACAATTTAATCTTAATCCTGCAGTATAATAGTGCTGGGCAGTATACCGGTTCATACCGAATACCGGGGTTTATTTTTGTTCAATTTTTAAAATTGTTTGGAATTATAAATATGAGCGTAGTTCGTCTGTTAATATCACATGCACTTTTTTTTGTTTGTTGTTTTTTTTAGTTTGTTACTCCGACGCAGGCAGTGTGCTGCATGAGACAAAAAAGTAATAGCCAAAACAACCGCATAGTGTAGTGTACTTGTCTTTAGTGTAGATGCATGTTGATTTTATCAGACGATGCCGTGATTATAAATGAGAGTGACTCCTGGTTAACATGTATTAAAAGGGGTCGTGTTTAGTCACTATTTAGTGTGGTATTTTTTGACAATATTCACTCATCATGACAGTAAAATAAGGCATTCTAAGTCAATATACTGCAGTATTTCCTCTCAATCAGTAGAAAATATGGTTAACACAC